TGTGCTTGTGGTTGAGTGTTGGGTGAACGTGGTGTGTGGAGGTTTTATTAGCTAGAACAAAGATTTATTGTCTATTGGATCAGGGGGTCACAGGTTCAAACCCACACTGCAGTCAGCATGTCGTTGTGTCCCTGGGCAAGACTCTTCACCCCAATTGCCCACAGTATTGAGTATGTAAGTCTCTTTGGATAAAAGCTTCTAACAAGTGACATGTAATGTAATGTTCCTTCGTCTAACAAATTGTGTTTAAATGACACTTTTACTTTGAACAATCTGGGCCTTACAAATACTCCATTGTTTTCAATTTGTTCACATGTAAAAACATCTATCAACACGTCACCTGAGGGCTGATTTAAAGATGAAGAAACAGTCGTCCAATCAGAGCTTTGTACTGTAGGCAAAATGTACAATACAGATCTTATCTTACTCTATCAACAAATACGTTTATAAGAAATAGTGAAAAACTTGGATGAGATTGAGCTGTCAAACCAGTTGTTAATTGATTTACAGAAACTACTTAAATTATGTCATTAAACTTTTCAAAGAAACTGTACGTTACCAATCCCTTCTCAGCGTGTTTCAAATGGCCCGTTCATGACTCATACTGAAAATCAGCATAATTTCCAACTCATGCTGTCTTTGAAAAGCAGTAGAAATTAAAACGTTAAAAGGAGACATTGTGGATTTTATGTTAGAGCTCTACTGCGCTCTAGTGATTACAAAACTAATGACTTTTGGATGGTTCAGTTACTAAATAGTTTGCTAAAGATAAAACATGTAAATCAGACAGCTTGTGTTTCTCTTTCCTTCAACTTAGGCTAGCAGTTTCCCCCCGCTTGCAGTCATTGTGCTAAGCTAGGCTAAACACATATTTGAAATTCTGTTATAAACGCGCAGAGAGGACATTTGAATACATCTTCTTATATAACGAAAGAAAATGTATGTTGTGCCTCGTAAACTCTGTTAAGTTAATGTATTTTAGTTCAGTCTTGCATCCTGCTTTATTTTGTAGTAACCTTTCCTTCTTTTTGCAGGTCACCTCATGTCCTCCCTGTGTTTTCCCTCCACTGTGATTGTCGACTCCGCCCTAATTATCCCCTTAGCCTGCCTATATGCTGCATCTCACTTGGGTTAAATGGATTCCTTGTGTCCCTCACTTGCGTCGTTTCCCTGCGACTATAGTCCCTCCCACCAGAGAAGCATGGAGAGACGCAAGGGCCGTTTCTCAATCGCGAGGATACTGGCTTGATAGTCGCATATTTCCAAGTCACTTCCTTCAGAAACGAAGCAAGTATACTTCCAAGCCACGGCTTCGGAAAACAAAGGAGAATGGAACAGGCTAACAAGTGTGCCACTCTCTCTAACGGTTTCAACATAAACTGTACCGAAAATAAATACCTCACGATGTCTATCTAATTATGAACTTGCTTTACTTTCACGGAACACATTTTTGGTGATAACAAATGCAACAAAGTAACACTCCCCTCGCTATTTAGTCTTGATGGTCTGGTAGGAGATCCCTTTAGGAGTCTGTGCAAGCGGGGCGGGGAATGGACACATAGCGAGTGACTAACCTGCACGTCGCCGCTACGTACTAGACCGACGAGCAGTCTGCTAGTCGACACGCCGCAGTAGTGTTTGCCTGCAGCCGAAGTGCACTGCGAGGCCCCTTGTTGCAGGGTACGAGAATTTTGAGTAAAGGACGAAGAGCACCAAAGGGACCGGCAAAGAGTTCAGCGCTCCCTTTGACCGATGGTTCGGTTATAAGTTCCTATGATGCAGTAGCTCTCACGGCCGGCTTCCTGACAAGGGTTAAAGGTCATTAATGAACCTTAGGGCCTCCGGCGGCAGGAACCAAACCCCCATTAAAGTCCGACGTGCTTACCCATCTGAAGCGCCGGAAGTTTAGGGGTGTATACGAAACGCGTGCCTGGTTAAAAGTTTTTGGGAACCGCTCTCTTACCGACTTGGCTGCGTCGTGTCGTGTGTAAATTAATTCATACAATCACCGCTATCTTGTACA